ACCTCCCTTTGAAGTTGCGTATATACATATATTGATATCAATTTTTAACACCAATACCTTCAAAATCCATATATATCTTGTTTCTACAATCTGAAAGTTTATGATGTATGAAACAATTCCATATGCTTTCTTTGTTTTGTTGTTTCATGCCACGCCCAGAAATATTCTAGCTACATGACGGCGGTCTGTAAATTATTGAGTCAGGACTGGACAATCCAGCGATTGACAACATGAGCATCAGTCCACGCATTTGGGATATGATAACATGCATCAACCAAGTCAGCAAGTCTGACCACCTGATCCTGTTAGTCGCCTGTTACGACAAGCATAGTCGCCTTTTATGGCAAGCATGGGTTGCTGAAGACCTGTTCTTCCCCAGATCTTAACTGGGATTGCCTCTCTGGGCCCAGACAATCAGGGAGGGTGGGTTGCACACATGGATCACTCGAGCAGCACACAACACACCCAGAGGCATACCACTCACCAGCAATAGAAACGAACAGGTTTACTCCACTAGTCCTTATATTGATAACATATATCAAAATCCTTAAAAATGGCAAATATCTTCTAGTCCTTAAGGATAACTTAACTATTGGGCAGTTTGGCAGGACTACAGGACTAGTGCCAATTTCTAATGCTGTTCACTTATACAACTGATATGCATGAGTGCTATATCTTCCAGTACTTCTTACAAAATAATTGTGTGCACTTTGTCGGTTGCTTGTACATGAGGGGGGAACTGAACTGGAAAAGCTAAGAAATCATTAATCTATAATTATGAGATAATTTGGACCGGATATTTCAAGAAACATGTAGATTTGTAATGTACATCTGTCAATAATTAAAAAGGCAGCTGATAGCTTTCATCATACAACTGTGTACCCAGTAATTATCCAAAACCTGTTTATGATATGGTCATTCACCATATGTTGTTATGAATTTCATAATTATACTTAATTATAGTACATGGACAAATGAATTTTACATCCTCAATTAAGAAACTTAAAATGAGATAAAATTTTAGTTGATGGAAATGCACTTTAGGAAAATATCTTCTTGTGTCTGAAATATCTAATTATTGTTTAGGAAATATGTACCGTACAGAGATAGTAAGCAGAAAGAAATTCAACACAAAAGAGGCCATTGTGTCTGGTTAAGTCGTGGCCCAGAGATACCATCAGAGTTACATCCAGGCACTACTGCCGTTACATGCCGACTGAAAACTGCAGGTGATGTACCAATGATAAATACTCTATGCTCTGTCATCCATTCAAATCACATGAATACCATGAAGATCCGGGGTAGAATAGGTCTTCAGCAACCCATGCTTGCCGATAAAGACAACTATGCCTGTCGTAACAGGCGACTAACAGGATCGGGAGCTGAGACTCACCGACTTGGTTGATGCATGTCATTGTATCCCAACTGCGTACATCATTGTTCATGATGTCAATCACGGGATTGTCTTGTCAAGTCTCCATTATTCACAGACTGCCATCGTCTAGCTGGAATATCTTTTGACGCCTTGTTAAAAACAATAAATCAAAAGGAACTTGAACTATGTAAAATACGGTAGATGCGTTCTGATGACACAATCCTCTGTTCTTCAGTTGGCTTGTGTTTACACAATGCAACATAAGACTTATTGATATCTAGGTCACAATAATGCACCACAGTGTAGTATGTTTATATTGACATAACACCTGTTACTATGCCATTGTCAATATCCAGTCAGGTTCAAACTGAGTGCAAAGTAGGATTTTTAATTCTTCTATATAGAATTGCCATAGTGCTAAGTGAATGATGTAAGCAAACATATGATATATTCACACATTGTGGCCTACATTCAGCTGTTTCAAACCAAGATTGATTAACAGACAGCGTCCATGTCCTCTTTGCATGCACTTTCAACATTGATGATTAAAGTTTCTCGACAGGTAATGGGGTTGTCACACTTTTAAAAAGAAAGAAAAATTCTCATGTTTGAAAAACCAGTGCTGTGTCAAGAGACAAACGGTTTTGGGGTTGAAACATGACTCATCAATAGTGATGCAACAGCATTCGTATACCACATTCATTTCAACCAATCCGAAATTTTCAAGTAGTGATTATGGAAGAGGCAGAGTAAATTGTGGTGTAAGTGGCATGGCTCATATTGATCTGTCCATCTGACACAGCAGGGAAATGTCACACGGGAAATTGATTTTACTCATTACGAGATGATGGATAATAACTGGGCACAGTTCAGGTGTAAAGTGTACTGTGAGAGTGTACTGTGAGTGTACTAGTACTAATGGACGCAACACCAAGGGTGTCAACTTGTAATATAACTGAATCAATACACATCCCTGCCGTGCTTGTCGTGTCATTTCATGTCAGTCGTCTGTTTTTGACAGGAGTTTGGTTTAGATAGTTGGGCTGAGTCGAAAAAAATGATCTCATTCTTGTCATTCGTCCATGAAAACACATTAGAGTTTGCATTTTTAAGGGGTTTAGTTGGAGGTGCACAGCATTACTGGTATAGCACAGTATATGAAATACTAATATATACATATCATGAAAGCTTTCACGTATCGCAATATATAAATCATTATTGCAATAAATTGTGATACGAAATTAAGGCCAGTGACCGTCACTTGTTTTTGTAATTTACTTTTAGTTTCAAATCAAGAAATGATTTATATACTGAATACACAGCAAATTTAATCAGTACTATTCCTGTGTGAATACTGATATTAGCACCAATGCATTTTAGCGATTGTCAGTGCTGATTGGTCAGTTGAAGCCATGTGACATTATGGTGCTTCATTGTTGAGAAAATTACGATATGACATCATATTTTGTTCATGATGTCACAAAATGATCACTGCGCGTCATCTGAATAATGTTTGCCTTCACGGAAGTTTCTCTGTAGCTTGACATTTCATACGTCTGTTAATCATTTCTCTCTTAAAATGCCCATGTGATATATGATATGACCTACCCAAAACCCAAAATTTACTGATTTTCTTTCCTTTGAATGAGGGGCGGTCGGGTAGCCTAGTGGTTAAAGCGTTCGCTCGTCACGCCGAAGATCCGGGTTCGATTCCCGACATGGGTACAATGTGTGAAGCCCATTTCTGGTGTCCCCCGCCGTGATATTGCTGGAATATTGCTAAAAGCGGTGTAAAACCATACTCACTCACTCCTGTGAATGAAAGGCTTGGGATTGACAACATTCGTTCTATCGGGACATCAAATCTGTAATTCCTCGTAGCTCATTTGGTATTCCCTGATTAACTACTAATAACTAGATTACTTGATGTACTGATTTTGCTGATTGAAGGAACGAAGTCAGACACATGTTACAAGAAGGTTTGAAACAGTATTTCCAGGCTAATGCATATACACATATGTAGTCTAATCTTTATAAAAGAGCCAGCCTGAAACACTCTGATGGATACATTCTAAATAGTAAATGAGTCTAAAAGATACTAGACTGTTCTTCTTCAACCTTTCTTCATGCTTTCTGAAATTTATACCTTTTTTTATTTTTGTCCTTGTTGCTGACTGACACTGAAACAACTTGATGTTTCTATGTAGAGAGACTGTCCCGAGTGTCTTGATATCAAATATATCAACACATTAGTTGATAAAAGTTTAAAGGACCCAGGCTTGATAAGTGTTGATGTATTTGAGCTACTAGCATGAGATTCTATTTATACTGTAGAATGAATCTTCCAATTTTTTTTAGCTTGTAAACAGTTAATAGCCAGTATCTTTAGTGTAAAATGAACAGCTAGCCATCTGTGCAGGCCAGTTTTGGATGATAGATGAACGGGCCTATAATCTCTGGAGTGAGTGAGTTGGCTTTAACGCTTTGAAACAGTATTCCAATTATATCACAGCGTGTCAGCTCAATGTGGGAGGAAAGCCCGAAGTGATGCAGGTCTCAGACATTTATATGTAATTACCACTTTGGTGAAACGGACATGGTGCTGACAAACCTAGACACATAATAGGGGCAAACCGGGATTCGAACCAACAATCAAAGGTTTTGGCATGCCCAAGGGACACAACTCTGCACAGCGAATTGTTGGGCCTTAGACGATTGGGCCACCCATTCCCCTCCTATACACAAGTACCCATTATCACCTTCATCCTAGCTTCGTCAAGCAGTCTCATCTTTTTGTCATAGCAGCTTATCAGACAATCATGAGGTAACAGTTTCAATCAGAACTCCTGAAGCAAAGATCTACTCAATTACAGGCGTTAAGCCTTTCAGGATACACCTTGGCCTGGCTAATTGCAGCAAGACAAAGGAATGTGTGTGCTGGGTGCTATGACTGATTAGTTCTACCTAGACCACTGACGCCATGGAGAGATGGCGGTTCCTTAACACGAGGCATCTGGTTGCATCCCCATCAGGAGGAAGGGATGCATGTCAGTTTGTGTATAATCAACTGTGTCTGCATGACTAACACTGGCCTGCCATTCAGGAAGTGCAGGCTGACACGGATGACATCACGCGTTGCACTATCAGTTACCTGGTGACATGGCGGCAATCAGTATGAGTGTCACAAGTTGACACTGAAAGCCATTTAGATATGTGTTGGAGAATAATTTTTAATAAATTTGGGTATTATTTCATAAGTCTGTATCCTTTGATTTTATGTATTATATGTTTATTTAACCCTATTGTTGAAGGTGAACGTAATTTGCTTTTTTAAGTTTGTACCTTTTCTTGTTTGGGAACCTAATTCTTAAGATTTGATTCTGAGCTATATTTCCAGACATCCCATAGACGTAATAAACTTTAACCTATTCTACAAAGACTATGAATATCAAATACTCTGAGATGCAGTTTTGCATCATAAACTTGCTTCATGTTTCTACATGATTCCCCAACATAATATGTAAATATTTACCATGAAACACATGTGGTTGATGGTACCAGCTTGGAGAACTGGCCACAGCTCCAAAAGCCATCCCAATCAATAAATATAAGATTAAAAGCTCACCGTAACCACCTCCCAGCCACTGCCTTCTGGATGCCTTGGTCAAGTACATCAGTGCTAGGTATTTCCCACATCAGCAGATGACAAGATGCCAGATCTTCACCAACTCTCTCCTCAAAGGATCAATTGTCAGACTTGCTCATGTAATACACAGCAGTGATCATGTGCCGAATATTCACGCAGGAGTTGGGCCACAGCACTGTAAGGAGAGGCTGTGGATTCCTGTAGTATGATATTCTGCGAGGGTCTCACTCAGTAGCAGTGGTATTGAGGTGTTGAGTCCTAACTGCCTAAGGGAACCAGACAATGCTTGTGTTGTCATCATTTTATTTTGTCATGCCACGAAGCTGCTGATGGATAAATTGATTTCCCGCCAAATGTCATTTGAAGCCTGTGTACTTAATATCTCTAGTTCATTGTTATGTTGAAGATGTTATCTTTCGATAATTGTTTCAAAATTATTATTAAATGTATTGTCTTTCCAGTGGAAAATGGAAAAGTTTTCCTTTGATTGGAGATGGGGATAGTATTTTAAGTTATGAGAAATTCTTATACAGTCAAACATCATTGTCAAATCCAAAGGCACAGATTGAGGTGCCAGGACAAGCTGAATCTGGGTTCAAATCCTGGATCACCCTGATTTTGATTCCTGGTTTGTCAGCACCTGCAAAAACCTGCATCTTGCTATGCAGAGTTCGGCCCCAGGTGTGCCAGATTATCACTGGTTGCAATCCAAGGTGTGTCCTAATTGGGATCCTTGGTTAGTTAGCACCGTACCCATGTTTTGAGTTTCACTGAACACTTTTCCAGATGCTAATGTGGTTTTTTTTCCTTGTTCTTCCCTGTCTTCGTTTTGGGTCCAGACAAATAGATGCATAGTTGAGTGAATTCTCATTTTGAGCAATTATCTTGTGATTAACATATTCACTGCATACAGTGATCTACATTTAAACACAGTGATCTAGATTCAAACTCAGTGATTTGCATTCAAACTCAGTGATCTACATCTAAACTCAGTGGTCTGCATTTAAACTCAGTGATATACATTTAAACTCAGTGATCTACATTCAAACTCAGTGATCTACATTCAAACTCAGTGATCTACATTTAAACTCAGTGATCTACATTCAAACTCAGTGATCTAGATTCAAACTCAGTGAGCTACATTTAAACTCAGTGATCTACATTCAAACTCAGTGATCTAGATTCAAACTCAGTGATCTACATTCAAACACAGTGATCTACATTCAAACTCAGTGATCTACATTCAAACTCAGTTACCTACATTCAAACTAAGTGATCTACATTCAAACTCAGTGATCTACATTCAAACACAGTGATCTAGATTCAAACTCAGTGATCTACATTCAAACTCAGTGATCTAGATTCAAACTCAGTGATCTACATTTAAACTCAGTGATCTACATTCAAACTCAGTGATCTACATTCAAACTCAGTGATCTACATTCAAACACAGTGATCTACGTTCAAACACAGTGATCTAGATTCAAACTCAGTGATCTACATTCAAACTCAGTGATCTAGATTCAAACTCAGTGATCTACATTTAAACTCAGTGATCTACATTTAAACTCAGTGATCTACATTCAAACTCAGTGATCTACATTCAAACAGTGATCTACATTCAAACTCAGTGATCTACATTTAAACTCAGTGATCTACATTCAAACTCAGTGATCTACATTTAAACTCAGTGATCTACATTCAAACTCAGTGATCTACATTCAAACTCAGTGATCTACATTCAAACACAGTGATCTGAATTTAAACTCAATGATCTACATTTAAACTCAGTGATCTACATTCAAACTCAGTGATCTACATTTAAACTCAGTGATCTACATTCAAACTCAGTGATCTAGATTCAAACTCAGTGATCTACATTCAAACTCAGTGATCTACATTCAAACAGTGATCTACATTCAAACTCAGTGATCTACATTTAAACTCAGTGATCTACATTCAAACTCAGTGATCTACATTTAAACTCAGTGATCTACATTCAAACTCAGTGATCTACATTCAAACTCAGTGATCTACATTCAAACACAGTGATCTGAATTTAAACTCAATGATCCACATTTAAACTCAGTGATCTACATTCAAACTCAGTGATCTACATTCAAACTCAGTGATCTACATTTAAACTCAGTGATCTACATTCAAACTCAGTGATCTAGATTCAAACTCAGTGATCTACATTCAAACTCAGGGATCTACATTCAAAGTCAGTGATCTGCATTTAAACTCAGTGATCTACATTTAAACTCAGTGATCTACATCTAAACTCAGTGATCTACATTTAAACTCAGTGATCTACATTTAAACTCAGTGATCTACATTCAAACATAGTGATCTACATTCAAACTCAGTGATCTAGATTCAAACTCAGTGATCTACATTCAAACTCAGTGATCTAGATTCAAACTCAGTGATCTACATTTAAACTCAGTGATCTACATTCAAACTCAGTGATCTACATTCAAACTCAGTGATCTACATTCAAACTCAGTGATCTACATTTAAACTCAGTGATCTACATCTAAACTCAGTGGTCTACATTTAAACTCAGTGATCTACATTTAAACTCAGTGATCTACATTCAAACATAGTGATCTACATTCAAACTCAGTGATCCACATTTAAACTCAATGATCTACATTCAAACTCAGTGATCTACATTCAAACTCAGTGATCTGCATTTAAACACAGTGATCTACATTCAAACTCAGTGATCTACATTCAAACTCAGTGATCTACATTCAAACACAGTGATCTAGATTCAAACTCAGTGATCTACATTTAAACTCAGTGATCTACATTCAAACTCAGTGATCTACATTTAAACTCAGTGATCTGAATTTAAACTCAATGATCTACATTTAAACTCAGTGATCTGAATTTAAACTCAATTATCTACATTTAAACTCAGTGATCCGCATTTAAACTCAATGATCTACATTTAAACTCAGTGATCTACATTTAAACTCAGTGATCTACATTCAAAGATAGTGATCTACATTCAAACTCAGTGATCCGCATTTAAACTCAATGATCTACATTCAAACTCAGTGATCTACATTCAAACTCAGTGATCTGAATTTAAACTCAGAGATCTGCATTTAAACTCAGTGATCTATATTTAAACTCAATGATCTACATTTAAACTCAGGGATCTACATTTAAACACGATCTACATTTAAAGTCAGTGATTTGCATTCAAACTCATTGATCTACTTTCAAACTCAGTGATCTACATCTAAACTCAGTGGTCTACATTCAAACTCATTGATCTACTTTCAAACTCAGTGATCTGCATTTAAACTCAGTGATCTACATTTAAACTCAGTGATCTACATTTAAATTCAATGATCTACATTCAAAGTCAGTGATCTGCATTTAAACTCAATGAACTACATTCAAACTCATTGATCTACTTTCAAACTCTGTGATCTACATTTAAACTCAGTGATCTACATTTAAATTCAATGATCTACATTCAAACTCAGTGATCTGCATTTAAACTCAGTGATCTACATTCAAACTCAGGGATCTACATTCAAAGTCAGTGATCTGCATTCAAACTCAGTGATCTACATTTAAACTCAGTGGTCTACGTTTAAACTCAATGATCTACATTCAAACTCAGGGATCTACATTCAAAGTCAGTGATCTGCATTTAAACTCAATGATCTACATTCAAACTCAATGATCTACATTCAAAGTCAGTGATCTGCATTTAAACTCAATGATCTACATTCAAACTCAATGATCTACATTCAAACTCAGTGATCTACATTTAAACACACTGATCTACATTTAAACTCAGTGATCTACATTCAAACTCAGTGATCTTAATCTACACTCACACCGAGCTAATTAATTTACTCACAGAACACCACTGTGGTCTAGTGGTAGAGCGTCCATCCAGAAAGTGGAAGGTCCAGGGTTCGATTCCCAGCCGCGTCATACCAAAGATGATTAAAGATGGTACTTGTTGTTACCCTGCTTAGTGCTCGGCATTAAGGGGCTAAAACAAGGATTGGTCAGCTCGGAGTCAGTATACTGTGTCTGAGTGGGGTATTCATGTTAATCTGCGGCATGGTACCTCAATGGGCTTAGGACTATAAAATCAGCATTTAGTCCCGGCTAGTACAAGCAACCACAAACACACGTCTGGATGCATGTCGCTATGTAAGTGCACTCAATCTTGGACGTGATGTTAAACCCCATTTCACCTCATTCACTCGCTGCATGCAACATTACAACACTGCTATTTATTATGTCATGACTGACAGGGATGTCGGTGTGCCCTGCAGAATATCTGAGATGGTTGTAGGCAGCCAAGTGTGGATATATTGCTGTAAGCTGACAGCCAGGTTTTTTTGTGCCTAGAAAGCGTGATATTTATCATTTGCAAAAACTCCAGTAGTTCTTCCCTTGAAAGGATTACACAACAAGGTTAGTGCCCAATGATCACACACATCCACTCTTCACTGTAAAGTCCGCAGTGATCTCTTCACTCTGTTTTTCCAATCACCAGCAGAGAAAAAATGTAAACATTATCATTTGATGTTAGTTTAATTGTGAGGTGATTTGTAGTTGGAGACGAAGCAGATACATATCTTAGTGTGTGTTCCAGTGATTGTTGCATGGAATGCTGGGAATACCCATGAGTTACTCGAGTTATTCAAGTATACAAATCCTGGGAAACTATTTGCGTGTCTCTTTAGGTTCCGGAAATCATCAACTGGAAGGACTTTGGCTGGCTCGCTTCCGACATTTCAAAATCAAAAGAATCTATATCCCATTCAATCCTGATTCTGTCTGGTTTGTTTCAATGCAGTCATTCTACGATTTAATTCCTCAGCTTACTAGAACCCAAAGTCAAAGGTATAGAGCATGTTTGTCTATATCTAGCTAACCTGAACAGCCTTCAAAATCCATGTTTGTCTGCTAGCCTGAGACTACTAAAGTTTGCTGAAGGCAAAAATCCAACGATGTTTGTCCTACTTGACTATTTTTAGTGGCCTTTGAGGGCCATAATTCAGACCCAGTTCTCAATGCTTCAGTTTTGCTATAAATTGGAACTGAATAAAACTGAAATCGTAAACATAGTAAACATTTTTGTCTTGTTCAAACAGGACTCACTACAAACTCTAAAGAACCGCCTCCGTGGTCTAATGGTAGAGCGTCCGCCCGGAGAGCAGAAGGTCCGGGGTTCGATCCCCAGCCGCGTCATACCAAAAGACATTTAAAGATGGTACTTGTTGTTACCCTGCCTGGCGCTCGGCATTTAGGGGCTAAAACAAGGACTGGTCGGCTCGGAGTCAGTATACTGTGTCTGAGTGGGGTATTCATGTTAAACTGTGGCATGGTATCTCAGTGAGCTAGCACTATATATCGGCATCAGTCCGGACTAGTAAAAGCAGCCACACAAACATACACACACACATACACGTGCATGCACGTCGCTATATAAGTGCAATAATCTTGGACGCGACGTTAAACCCCATTTCACCTCACCTCACAAACTCTAAAGACCAGTGTAATTAGGTTTACACTAATCATCTGGA